ACACTCGCCATGGGTAAACGCAGAAAGTGAGGTTGAAATGCAATGAAAGGTGAACGTGTCGTTTGAGTGCCTCCGAATTTTTCGTTTTTTCTTGCTTTACCATAGAGCACTTTAAATTAAGTAAATTCGGCGGAAATTCCTGGATGGTGCATAAATCAAGCCAAAAACACTCGAAAATTGTCGATGTCTTATACGGTTGTTCCTTTTCCTCTCATTAGTGATCTTATGTCCGCATTTTTGCTAGTTTTGAGCAAAGCAAAGCAAGACCAAGACCAGGACTTACCCGGTATTGGTCTGGTTGGCAAATCAACGGCAGTCCTGGTCTTGCAAGTGTTCCTTTTATATAGCCGTAAAATTAGACGAAATAAATTTAATAATAACAATAATAATAATTAAATTAAAAGTTAATACTAATCAAATCGAAATATCAAAAAATATCAGATTACCCTGCAAGAAAATTGAAGTTCAACTGCCCAGAAAATGTCGAATTTTATGTTCAGTGGGCATATTATATTAACATAATTTGGCCATATTATGGTAACAAATATGGGCAAAATATGTCGAATGCGCACGTGACAGACTAGCGCATATAAGCGCAAGTGAGTTTGAGGTTACGTTAAGCAAAGCAAACGTCTGTCATCAAACTATAATTTTTTCAGCATTAAATGGGCGGATTTTTAGATGATTAATTTATTGTTTTTGCCATACGATTCGTGTTTTGGGAGCAGGAGCTAGGAGCAGTCCGAATAATTGATTTGTTTAAATTGTTTATTGCATTATTAGAGGATAGCACGTTAAAACGTTGCGTGTGATCCTGGCCAAACCATTTAGATCATATTCATTCAATCATACGGATGTTTGCGTAGAGACAGTGAATATAATATAATAACTCTTTTATAGTTACCCGTTTTGGCAAATAGAAGTTTGTTTTGATTAACGTAACTTCATACTCAATTGCGCATGTCATTTAAACAACGAGTTAGGTTGACGTGACTCGACTACGAATGTCTACTGAACGGGGCTCCATATAAATACGACAGATTATCCAATAGTTGAACCCAGTCTGAGGCTCGAATTCAAGAACGACACTCAACTATCACTCACACTAAAATCAGACTCATCTCATCCTATTTTTTTTTTCTCATCCTATTATTTCCTATTATCTTCTTCGTGTCGAGGTTTATTATCTTCTTCCATTTCTATTTCTGTTTTTTTCTGTTTATTTCTTCAACGATAAACCTCTCTTCTTTATTAAACCTGATATGCTTCATTTTATTCTTATTTTCCTGTTCATTCAGCTTTCAATTAATTATTTTTCCAATTTAAAGCCTAAAATGTTAACAATAACAAATGAGACCCAAAAATTTGAGAAAAATTGCAACTGTAAACACTACAAATAATACTTAATAATGTGCACAAGTAATTACGAAGAGGGCATAATAGAAGACATTTACGAACTAACGCCCGAATTCAAGAACGCCACTCATACGCTGCTCATCTCAAATCCAACTCTCAGGCCCGAATTCATGAACGACACTCAACCATCACTCACACTAAAATCAGACTCATCTCATCCTAACGGTATTCAGAAACCATTTTCTTAAATGAGTCACTAAACTGTCCCTAACTTTGAATTGAAGACATGCGCGTTAAGTACCATAAGTGAGTGAAAAATTAGTGTGGCTTTTCGTCCCCTCATAGCGTACTCAAGATTTATTTTGGTGCATTTTGACCAATTAAAATCCGGCAGTTTCATCAAGTTGTAAGTTTTCCTGGAGTGATTGGGTGTATAAATGAAACCCACGTTGAAATAGCAAGCCAACGTGGATCAAATGCATGAACAATGAAGCTGTAGCTGGACCGAACTTAAGGATATTGTTATTTATTAGCCAGGTTCTGATCATGATAGCAGAATTTTTTATGGCAGTTCCATGGAGATAGTGCTTATGTCCAGAATAGGCGTATGTATACTTCAGAAACATTGAAAAACCCAAGAAGAGGAGCCGAGCTTGGACATAATAACGCATGTATTTCAACAAGGAATGTTATTCAAGGCGCGTTTGGTGTGGAAAGGTCGTTTTAAAGGTTTAGAAAAGTGGTTGGAAGTATCATTACGACATACCACCAGAATTATTGCTGCTACAGCGGTGGTTCTTAATATTGCCATTGACACCAGCCAGAAAATCGATGAAAGTATAACTATGGAGGAAACTGAAAGGTTTCTGCAGTCCGAAGCGCCAAGTATGGCAATCAGCGCTGCTTTCATGCACGACAATTTAGCAGATCAACGGATTAAATTTGATTTCATATTGTATTAAATCCCCAATTTTTTATAAATTTGTTTATTTATCTCTAGTCATTTTGCTTTCACTCCCTCCTGTTTTAGAATTTCCTTGGCAATGGATATACGAACATTCTGCCATTCTGAAATTGTTTCTTAGAACTCGACATGAAACAGCGCTTAGCACTCATGTTGTTATACATAATTAATAAACATGTATTATAAACGTAATTTTTTTCTTCAAACACCCATAACAAAACAAGTGATAATAAAAGCTGAACTGAGGTTATGGAACCGGAATGAAGTTATTCACTTATGAGAACATAACCTACTAAAACTGTTTTCTTTGAACCAGTGGTCACTCAAGTGAGTGACTCATTAGTGTCGTTTTTGAATACCGAAAGTTGGCTTTAGTTAGGGACCACTCATCTCACCCTAACGTGAGTGGCAGATAAGTGAGAGTTGGATTTGAGATGAGTAGCGTATGAGTGGCGTTCTTGAATTCGGGCCTTAGTCGGAAAGCACGGGAGATCACTTCGCCCACTGCTTCATCGCCTTTGATAATGTCCACCGCAGTTGTGGACGAAACGTCAGGAAGAAATTCCCATGGACCACGGCTTCAAAGCCCGAAAAACCTTTCTATATGTGATTTGACCTGCCGTGAAAGCCTTCATAGTCTGATGTTGACATATTATGTTCAATAAATATGGGCAATAATTAGTAAGCCGAGCATAAGTTATGGCGTATTTTCTACCAGGGTATTTGCTTTTTAATTCGATCGATTTTTTCATCAAATCGCATTAAGCGCAGCTGATGAAGTGAAATTACGGTTTTTTTGTAGAAGAGGCGCAAATGCTCAAGAGCCCAAAGTTTTACATTTGCACGAATATTTTTGTTTTTTTGGTAAATTTTCATAATTTACCTTAAACGGGAATAACAAAAAGAAGTTGGTGTGTACACACTGGATGAAATTCAACCATACAAGTTTTTGTAATGAAGTGTGTATGTCGTATAATTAAGGCCAAGCGCTTTCGACAATTACGTCATCATCAGGGCCACTAAAAAACACCAAACAAAGCAACAGTAAGCAATGACCTGAAAGATATCACGCAGACAAAACAAAGTAAAAGGAAACAAAACTTACTCGTCAAATTACATGCGAACATCCTCAAGAGCACCGAACCGAACATGCAAAAACAATGGTCTAAAGGGCTAAAATTGTATATGTCAAACTTACTAGAAAATAGACTGAAGTTACAATTAGAATAAAATAAGATTAAAGAAACTAGACTAGTCGACCTTAACAGTTTGGGACCAGTGTGGTAAAGTTAGCTCAAAAGCATCGGGCAGAAACATTCCACATTTGGCTGACAAAGTGAATGTTAATACTTTTTTAGTTTTTTTGGAGCATCTGGAATTTGTTGAGTATTCAGTATTTCCCACCAACAAAAAAAAGTGATAAAAATTCACTTTGTCAGCCAAATGTGCTGTTTCTGCCCGATGCTTTTGAGCTAGCTTTACCGTCGGTCCATACCGACCATACTGTTAGGCCGACTGGTCAAGTTCCTTTAATCTTATTTTATTCTATTTTTAACTAAGTTTGTCATATACAATTTTAGCCCTTTAGACCATTTCTGACCATTGTTTTTGCATGTTCGGTTCGGTGCTCTTGAGCACAAAGTTTTGTTTTCTTTTACTTTGGTTTGTCTGCGTGATATCCTCCAGGTTGCTTACTGTTGCTTTGTTTGTTGTTTTTTAGTGGCCTTGATGATGACGTAATTGTCGAAAGCTCTTGGCCTTAATTATACGTACATACACACTTCATTACAGAAACTTGTTTGATAAATGAATTAAAAGCGAGTGTTTAATGACACGCGATTGTTTTTGAAAATTCATCAAATTTTATCAGGCGCAGGTAACGAAGTAAGTTTTCAGTATTTTCGTAGAAAAGAGACAAACATCCAAGAATCCAAAATGTCAGATTTGCACAAATTTTCCTTGATTTTTGGGAAATTTTCAAAATTTAACGAAAATATCGGGTGCTTTAATCGGAAGCGGTTGTGTTTCAAAGTGCATCAAATCGCATCAAGCGCAGCTGATGAAGTGAAATTTCGGTTTTTCTTGTGCGAAGTTTACTTGTTTTGTTAGATTCAAAATTGTTGACCCGTACTTCAGATCCAGAAGATCTTTATCCAGAGAAATCTAATATATTTAAACTTTAAATACTTTATTTAATGGACATTAAAGAAATATAAATAGGCATTTAGGAAATTATAAACTAATACTAGAAACAATAAATCTAGTATGTAGGTACGCTATAACTTTGGTCACACATCCTGCGACGAAATTTCACTACCACCACAGGCCTGGGTAACACTGTGTTGAGTTGCGCTTTTGAGTTGTTGCCGCTCTTTGAGTTAACGAGTTATAACTCATTTTTAGATTGAAAACTTTTAGTTTTGTAATCGGTTTTGGAGAAAACCTTAATCGTCTTCGGAAAAACGGTAGAAATTTATTTTCGTTTTTGTCCCAAATGCGACACTGCAAAAAGTTTTTGTAAAATTTTGCATTGTTGGTGCAAAAAATGCACGACCAAAACCAAGTCCAGTCTCGCTCATCACTACCTGCCGGTTTACTCCAAAAATATGAGTGAGTGCTTTGACATCAGCTTCACCTGCGGATTGTTAGACTAATGTGATGTGGATCTGAGTTAGTTTACCTGGCAGATGTTGTGTTCATAAGAGTCGCTCAGCATGCACATAAGCCAAAGATAAAATCGGCGATGAGTGGAACTGGCACACAGAACACTGAAAGCTGTTATTTGCGTTGCTGCGGACGTCATATTTCACTCTTGGCCTGACGTGCCCAGAAATAATTGCAAGAGTTGCGTTGTTGTGAGCTGTTAAGTAAGCGCGCTGATGTGTGTCCTTTTCTGCCGTCCGATTTCTGCCGTATGTAATATGCTGCCCAACGGTGGTTAAGACGTCCTTTGCCCGCTCGTGTTTTTTCCCTAGTTGTGGTGTGAAAATTGCGGTGCGCCCATGGTACTCGGGCGCAAAACTGGTCGCCAAACAAACGGGAGCGCATATATTTTATTAAGAGCAGCACCTGTCGTGAGCATGTCGCTCGGTCGACACCTAATTACCCGTTCTCGACAGTCCTGTCGCCACTGCATTTTTAAACATCCCATTGCCACTGTTTCGAATCCGTCGCGGTTTATTTTCATACGATTTTCCTATCTTTTATGCCACTATTACGCCTTCAGTGGCCAGTGGTGGCGATAACTGCACTAGCTACATTCTTCAGCTGGAGGCCACCATGCAAGTGAACGCGTTCATCACGATCCAGACTAAGTTTGAATCGTCTCCTAAATCAATTTGAAGCTGTATGGAAAGCGAGAGCTCGGAAGTTCTTTGCCCGGGCCTCAAACCGGCCTGGAAAGCGTGTCATTCCATAATCACCCTTAAATAACGTGTGTTTTGCTCAATGTTTGCTGATGAACTTTACTTGCTTATCATGGAACGATTTTCGCGCTTCGAGGGTTTTGGACGAATTTTCAAATATTCATTATTCAAAAGCCGACACAGATAAAAAGTGTTTTAGCCGATTTCCGAAAGAAAGCTTTTTCTCTTCAAAAAGCTGCAGCTTTTAGCTGCAGTTTTTGTGCGATATTTCTGTGTAGTTTAGCGACGACTTAACCGAAAGCGAAACTTGCTATTGCCATTTCCAAACCTAATATTCAAATATTCACTACTCACAAAGCCACACGGATAAAAATGTGTTTTTGCGGAATTTCCAAACAAAAAACTCGTGCAAAACAATTTTCGTGCGATTTTTTCTGAATTTCAGCAACTCTTTAAAACGGAACTTGGTAGATGTTGCAACCTATTATGCCACCACGCAATTTTCAAATAACTGAGCCAAAACTATTACCGGTAAAAGGATGTTTTTGTGGCATTATATTAAAGGTAGCTCTATTCTGTGTCGTTTAAAAGCTCGAAATTTGCGCGATTTTTCTACCAACTTTGGCAATTTTTTAATTACAAGCTTGTAAATGCTTGCGGCTGATTCCTCAAATTTTAATTACTCGCAAACGCGCATTGGAAAAGTGTTAATTCCCTAGTTATTCGACATTCGCTCACCTTCACCCATTCAATGAGACGACAGAAGATTTGAAGAGGAAAAAGATAGCCATTAATGAGCAGCTAGAAAAATTTTCCAAACGCGACAAGATAATTATCTGTGCAGATGGTGTAGTTGCATGAAAAAGTTCATTTTCAGTTGTCAAAAATCAGGTGTTGTGCGATTTCAATGAAATATTTAGGGATTTCAGGCTCAAGTGTCTTCTATCGACCGTCAAAGTTTCAAGTTGCTACTTGCTTTGAGTTGGAAATTGGGAATTTTTTAAGCAGATCGTGCAGTTGTGTGAAAAAAATATGTTGGGCCCGATATTTGTCAGTGGCTTACAGGCTCAAGTGTCTTCTATGGCCTGTCAACGTCTCAAGGTGCTACTTGCTCTGGCTTGGAAGTTAGGAATTTTTGTGTCAGATGGTGCAGTGGTATGAAAAAGTTCCTTTTAGTTCCGATATTTCTCAAGTCGCCAAAAATCAGGACTATTTATGATTTCAATAAAATATTCAGAGGTTACAGGCTCAAGTGTCTTCTATCGACCATCAAAGTTTCAAGTTGCTACTTGCTTTGAGTTAGAAATTGGAAATTTTTGTTTAGTCAATTAGTTGTGTGAGAAATTTTGTTTTGGGTCCGATATTTGTCAATGGATTTTTTGTAGCGCAGTTATCTGAAAAAGTTAATTTTAGTCCCGGTATTTCTCAAGTCGGCAAAAATCAGCCTTTTGTACGATTGCTTATAGTTTCATTCTTCCATCATTCTTGGAAATTCTTGAGTAAGTATTTATACACACTAAACGAGCCTGAGAGGGCAATAAATAATAATCAATGCTACATAATTTATAGTGAAATAAATTAAGCCACCCAACCACAGATCGCAATCTAAAGGCCCCATGAACGAGAACATCCTAATTTAAATCACTACATAAATATCGGGCGGTGATTTAAATAAATTTAAAAAGGGGTTGGAGCGCTCTAGGTGTTCGTCCGGACACCTGGATTTATGAGCCGATGGTACTAAATCTGTGTCCTAAGTCCCAGCAGAACAAAAAGAAAAAGTGGCCACAATCAGCTTAATGAAGACGGGGCTTAACGCTTCTGGGAAGGATGGTTTTCGTATTTATCCACTCTATTGAGAATCTTGACTTATCGGTTCAGCCGAATGCCGTTTTAATTAAGTGCCCAATTCTTAAATCACCCTTTGGCATATGTTTTTGTTTACCTCACTTGTCCTTTTGGAAAAGTTTATTTAATAGTCTCTGTGAGCAGCTCAGGCCGGTAGGATAATAGAGAATCGGCAATCGGACCTTTAAAGGGTGATGGCTCGGGTGATGCGAAAACAATTTGGTGAGTTGTGAAAATAGCCTTAGTGGGTTGTAATACCCAAAACCCGCTAAGTTGGAGGCATGCGAAAACGTCCCCAGGAATTGTTTCAGCTTAGCCTCTGCCATCGTTTCCATTAAGAGAACCCAGGGTGGCATGTTGTCCCGTTGAGAGCCATATTTCTTCTTCAGACCAGGGTGGTCTCAAGAATCGACAGGTAGCCGAGCTGGTGGGCGTCGCCACTTTAAGTGCCGTTTACGCGCTAGTTATGGACCCAGATGACCCCGTTAACCCTTAGGAAGATGGAAGGCACGCGACCATTGCCCCTTGGTACTATTTAACTAATTACACAATGCACTTTGAACATCATTTAGATTGAGCAAATCTTAATGACGCATTGTCCCTTGATACTATTTAACTAATTACATTCTAATGATTGTTTCTTATACATATATAACTAGCTCTCAAGATAGAGCAGCAGGTCGTGTATTTGTAACCGTAGCCTTAAGAAGGATGAATCTGAACCATCTGGCTTGTACAAGCCTGATCGCTCATACAAATCGTTCAGTGTAAACGCAGATCTGAAGTTTCGCAAACCGCAAAATTTGGCTTGAGTGAAATCTATCCTGACAGAAAATCCACTTCAGATGGGATCGTTGGTTTGAGCGTGTAAAGTGCCGTCTACAGGCTCAAGCCATCTGAACGATCTGGCTTGCACAAGCCTGATTGCTCATGCAAACCGTTAAGTATAAACGCATACATTCGCAAGGGCGGATCCCGGGGGGGGTCAGGGGGGTCATTTAAAAAAAAATACGGTCATTAATTATTCGTCTGATAGTACTGGACGTGATAATCACGTCAAGAAGACGTAGATTTGTAATGCCAGCTAGAGTTTTGCAGTAGCGCAACCAGTTTTCTAGGTAGGAGCCAAAAACTAAGAGAGGTTTTAAAATGTGCTTTGCGTGAAAACAAGAAACGTTTCTAGAACGATGTTTGGCATCAAAAGGTGCGCCTTTTAGGGCTCTATCCCGCAATGGAAACTAGAGCTTGATGGCTCAGCCGGTTTGCCCAATATGAGCCAAAGATTAAGAGCGGTTTTTAAAATCCTGTAAGAATGAGAATAAGTGAAACTAGTTGCATGGTGCCGCTCTCGTGCTCTTCTAAATTTTTCACCAGGATAGGCTTATTCTTTGTGACACCTTTATAAATTCGTTATGGCGCGTCAACGTATGTCGCTGCTAATAACACACAAATCGTGTGAACGCTGCAGCCTGTCATGTCGCATCGCGTGTTTATTTTTTAATTTGTCGGAATGCTTTAGTTCCCGCTCGTTTGGCGGCGCCCCGACAGAGTTTCACAGGAATATTTATAGCTGAATAATTCATTCAGTGATCAAAGCACGTCTGGGACCTTTTTGCTGATGGCCCTCCATGTATGTTTAAATTTAAAGGCGGCCCCATACCACCGGACATGTACCGCAATCATGCTCGTGCGTGTATGGCAAAGTGGTTTTTGCGCGAGTTTGGGTGTTTTTTGGGCTTTTCTGGATTAATTTTGGGCCCGGTATTTCCCAGGTCGGTAAAAATCAAGATTTTGTGCGATTTCATCGCAATATTCAGGAGTTAGAGGTTCAAGTGTCTTCTCTAGATTACTAAAGTTGCTGCTTGCTACGACTGGGAAGTTAGGATTTTTTTAAAGCAGATTGTGTAGTTGAATGCACACCTTCTTTTTAAGACCATCATTTTCCAAGCCGGCAAAAATCAAAATTTAGTGAACTTAACCAGTAGAAACTTCAACAATTCTGCATCAGTTCCTGTACAAACCCAGTGCTCTTAACAGAACACCGACTATATTTTAAATGATTTAATGCTAACGGCGCAAATTCCGAGTTGTTCAACACCTGGGCCTATAAAGGCAAAAGAGCTTGTCATACAAGGTGTTCTAGTGTTAATGAGTTAATCAGATGTTTGAATCGTCGTCGCATTACGCGCACTTGTGCTCTCCTTTCGACGGCCGATCGCTCGAAGAATCTTCTCGTGCCGGTTTTGTTTCAGCTAGAAGAAGAAGCGGATGAGTGGGACAAAGCCAGAATAAACACATAAAGAATGATGAATGCTGGCAGGGAAACGATAACTACAATGGATGTTTGTAACCTCATCCGCGGAATAAGAGAATAATTAATAACGGTCGGAACATTAATTTCATTCCGCCATCGGGAGCGCCATAACTCATACGAGAATAAATTCAAACTGACAGAGATTAATAGGCCTTAATTTTTTCCTTCACGATAATGATAATGATGATCTTTTAGTCATCGTCAATGGGACGCGCGAGGGTTGAGTAATTCGTTTCGAAACCTGTTTCGCGCTGGGGATCGACTTTCCTTCGGTCCAATCGATTGGTTTTTTCGCTGTCGAAACCAATAGTTTAGTGGAGAGAATTGAGCCGCGACTGACTACTTAAACATGTCATATATACAGATCTGGATGACAAGGCCTCCCATTAATACGGTAGTTAATACGTTGTTAAAAGGAGGATCGTAAATTGTGGGAATTACCATCGGAATGGCCAAATTATGGAAATGCTGTTTCATGACGGTCACGAGATGTGGCGAGATTACCGAAAAATTGTTGCCTCAACAAAGCCCAGGTGGATGCCGTGGCCTTCTTGGGCGATAATCGAGCTTAGACGGTGCAACCAACTGTCTCAGA